AATGAGATAAATAAAAAAGGGTTCGTTTTTTTCGCTCTGTTTATGTTACATTGTTACCCGCATTTTTCTTATAGTCTCATTATGTATACGTCGTTCAAACAATCGCCAACTTCTGTACCACTTACAATCCTTTTTATGATTTTCAAGTACTTCAAATAAAAAAAAATAATTAAGGACAGCCGGTCGCGGTGAATGTTGGTAGCACAGAATGTTCCGACCAATTTGAAAAATAAAAAGTTCTTTTTCCAATTTTCACATTTTTTTCTGCATAATTTGTAAATTTTTCAAACACTTGAATGGCAAAGGAAGCGCTAAAAAGCTTCCAAAACTAGTTAGTTCTCCTTTTAGTGAATTCATTTTTTTCGAGCCTAAAGGTCTATTTTTCATATATCGAACGTTACTCGATTGCGTTACTCGCTCGAAACTCAAAATTTTCGCTATTTTTGAAGGTCGTTCGAATCACGACTGAAAGAGCCTTAATATAATCTGTCATTCAACCCAGTCCGCTGATTAATTGTGGTAGCTGATTTTGCGTGAAAAACAAAAAAATAAAACACACTCAATACAAAGTTCCTCCCCATTTTCAATGGTGGAACAAAAAAAACTCATTTTTTTTCAAAAAACTAAATAACGCAACAAGGAGAGAATTTAGAAGACCGAAAAATCAGGTTGTCTATCCTCTCGGAGTCTAATCAGATTGAACTAGTATGTTATTTATATTAAAATGTTTATACTGCTGATAGTGCTTGATGAATAAATTCTTTGAAAAACTCTTCAGACGAAAGTCGAGTGCTCGAAAACAACATATGAGTCGAATTCAGTATTCATCTCCAAAAACCAAAAAAGGATAGCCGGTTACTGTTCAAGTAGCACATAATGTTCTGACCATAGTCTTAAAAATACAAAAATACTCGACCTTGATAAAAAAATAGGCCAATTGGAAAACACTCTTTGCAGAAAATGACTAGGAAAGCCAAAAAAAACTGTTGTTAAATTCAAAAATGTTCAAAACTTTGAAAAGTTGTTGAGAGTTTTGGAATTTTAGATTTTTTGATTCCCAAATTGGCGCTAAAAACTCCAAAAACTAACTTTACTCGAGTATAGAACTAAGTGTTCACGGCTTAAATTAAGCACAAAGAAGCTGGTGTAAGCCTGTTTAGCCTCAGAACAGCTTAAAAAACAGTTTCAAACTCGTTTTTTTTTTCGACACAGACTTTTTTCAAAATTATTTAATGTGGTTCGAATCACGACTAAAGGGGCTTTAATATGATATATCACTTGACTTATTCCGATAATTATTTGTTGTGCCTGATTTTGCGTTGAAAAAAAAACCACCTGAATACAAAGTTCCTCCACATTTTTCAAATGGTCGAACAAAAGAAATTTCGGGGCATTGAGTCCTTCATTGTGAATAGCCCCCATCTCAAAATTATCAAGAAAAGATATGAAAGGAGACAGACTAAAAGAAAACTAAGAAATACACTTGTATTCGAATGAAAAAACATGACAGACAGTCGGAAAAGAGTGATGAACGCAAGTGAACAGAAAAAAAACACTGACTTTGTTGACAAAAAATCTCTATTTTCGAAATTCAAAGAAAAAAAAGATTCCCTTTCTTTAAGCTCTTTGAACTTCTAGAACAGTTTATGACTAGCGCTTTTTTGATAACATAAACCTAACTAGAGAAAACTGGATCAATAGGTAAAGTTTTCATTCCGCTGGAAATCTACAAATAAAATTTCACTTTCGAAACTAAAAATCGTTCACGTTTTTATGCGCCATTTCCACGTTTGTATTTGGAGAGTGCTATTTACTTCACTTTCAACAGATGAATTTCAATTGAACTCAAAAAGTGCATATGTACCTTAGTGCATTCATAAATGCATCAATATACATGAATGCACATCTGTAGTTATTAGAGACTTTTAAGACCTAGTTAAGAGTCTTCACTACGTTAATTAACCTTAACAAAGAATCATGCATGGAATGTTAAATTGTACAAAAGAACATTTCAATACACCTAGATAGAAATGGGCCGGCTGGCGAGAGTAAGGAGGATGCCGAGATTGGTAAACTCCAACTGCATCGAGGATAGAATTGGAGTGATTAATTGCACCTGATAATTATAAAGATAACATCACTTAGCTGCCAAGTAACAAGCAGCAGCAGTTGAAACAAAACAAATTCATTTCCACTGCAATTGATAAGAGTTTAAAAGTAGATGATCTAAATTTGCTTGTTTGAGGGTTGTTGTGTTGTGGTGTCAATAAGAAAGTGGTTTGAACTACAATACTACACTAATATTGGTAGTATTATGGCCACAGAACAGAGACTGCGGTAAGTGAGTGAAGTATAAGTGAACAGAGTGATAGACAGATCAGATGTGAACAACAGTTGAACAAATTGCAATCAATCCATTTCACAACAGTTTCACAGTAGTCGTGGAGTGGTCACTAGTTTGAACAGATAAACTAACACAACAAACACCCACATTGGATACACCAGACCAGACCAGACCAGACATGACATGGAATACAGCACATTATTTGACCAATTCTCTCTGACACAAAACGACATGCGTGTTATTTCTTCTTCTTTTTTCCTTCTCTTTCCGGCTCTGCTCACACAGGTCTTATTACTCAACTGAGGATACTATGGTAATTTTGTCCATATGGACATCATCATCATCACCAATAAACGGGACAGTGAAGCAGCACATCAGTCTCATGGCAATGGAATGGTCGATCATTCACTAGCTAACGACACGTCTTCTCATGTTGTAGATTCCAAGGTCATTTCGGAGGGATTTGCAGAATAGAGTTACTGGGAAACAAAAACAGGAAAGAAAGACCTGAATACGTGGTAGATCACTTCGTTCGTTAAAACCGAGAAAAAAGGACGAACCAAACAAAGCCTTCGATTCGTTCAGTGACACCACTCAAACATTACAGAGAGCGAGAAATGAGTTTCAAATTTTTTGGGCAGTAAAACAGAAAATACTCAACATATTCCAATTGATTAATCATAAAAATCACCTGACCATAGAGGAGAAGTGGCATCACCAACAACGACACAATATAGCCATAATAAAAGCATATAAACGTATGCACTAAGTTTGTCAATGAAATTATTAGGAACAAAACAAACAGTTTTAAGCTGTGAATCAGCAATGGAAGTAACGTGACTGCAAGTGGCAAATAAATGAAACAACAACACTATCAAGTTAGTCATTTTACAACAGAAAAGCGGAATTAAAAAACCGCTAAAGTAAATATTAATAACTTCTCTCTACACTTTAAAATCTCAGAGCAAAAAGATATCAACAAAAACTGCGTTGGGATTTCATTGAAGTTTCTGTTATTTTATTAGAGTCGGAAACGAGACAAAATTTAAAAAAAAAAACATGCAAATAAAAAAATGCAAATGGAAAATGCAAATAAAAAGACTGAGAAATAAATAAAATGGAAAATGTATTTGGGCTTATTCAGTTTAATAGGAGGTTCTCAATATGTGGACAATCATTACATACCCTTTATGAAGGCCGCACCAGTGGCATTAGGGCTTTGTGTGCATTTGGGGCTGGTGATATGTATGCAGTAAGCGTAGTGATATAGTTGATGCAACTGCTGCTTGTTTAATTCATCTCTCTTCTTCTTATATGTCTAGCTGTGCTAGTGTGTAAATAACTGTGAACTGACTGGAAGTGAAATGTGCACATAGAACACAACATACAATATAAATTAGTGTTGAACTGGTGACACCACAATTGCAGTTGAGTTGACATTGAGAACAGATAGATTCATAAAGCATACCATCCATCATTCATTCAATCATTCATTACTTAACACTCTGTTTTTGTAATTTTGAAACAAAAACATGCCAAGACAAAAGAACTTGAAATTCCAATCGGAAGAAAGTTTATCAAGCGGTAACGAAGCCGAAAATACCTTAGCAGAAACCCTTTAAGCCGAAAAAAAATCAACAAGACTCAGACTTTAAAAAGTTAACACGCCCCCCTCTTCTTCAGAACATACACACACAAATACAAAATTTTTTCGCTCGTCGAAAGAAGCAATATGAGGCCACTAATCCGATTTAGTTTGTGCTCAAACCTATCAAGCCGAGAAAACACCGGATCTAGTGAGTATAAAAAATATGATTACCTTGAAACGACTCAAAATAAGGTCATTAAGCCGATAAACTATAAGCCGAATTCATTTGGGAAGAATGTTTTTAGGCAAAAAAAACAAAAAATACGAAGTCAAGAAATTACAAACAACAGTCGTAAATCAAAACACTAAGAGCAATTATACGATGTGGCAACTAGCCCCACAAAACATAAGCAGACAAATAATAAACCGACAATTGTTTTTGAAACTGAATAATTCCAGTTTGAACAAAAAAAAACAGGTCATCAAACTCAAGAACATTGCTGTCCCAGGCGTATTCGTTACCTCCAGTCTAAATTCGCCGCAGACACAACAAAATTTGAGTTCAATATGAACAGCACCTAAAATTATCATTTCTAACTTTGACCATTCTGTGAACAAAATTAGTTAAGGGAAAAAGTCTAGTACACGATTGCAATACCCGTGCTTATCGCAAGGAAAACAAAATAAAATCGATAAAAAGTTCTGAAAAAATTATGAAACATACACACGCAAACACTATTTTTGAGACGCAATATGAGGGCATTAAGCAGATATAAGAAAGGCTAAAAACTATCAAGCCGAAACAAAAAAATGAAGCCGTGAAGAATTTATTATTTATTTATTAAGATTTTA